TATACATTTTAAAAGTGATTTTTCAACCGATAAAAATATAAAGTTTATCATTGCATTGAAATATATATTATAATGGATATAAATAATAAAACTTATCTTATTTATAAATTTTACGTTTAGGATAATCGACTAAACATTTTATTTAATACGATACAAGAAATAGATTATATATTTAAAAGATTGATACTTGAATATCAAAAACTTGATTAATATATAAATAATATATTTACTAATCATTTGAATTTTTTTTTATAAAAAATTTTAAGTTCAAGTTAATTATTTTTCTTATGTTTTTTTATGACATTATATTATAATTAATATATATGTTGTATAATTAATAAAATATATAAATTATTTATTTAAATAATTACATTCAATCTTTCTCCTTTCTTTAAACATTTGAGAAAATGTGTATAATATATAATTTAAAACCCATGCCAACTTTTATTTGGAGGAGAAAAAAATAATTGCACTACTACATTAATACTGCCGTTGCGAAGAAAAAGAGAAATATAAAAAGGGAGCAAAAGCTCCATATGTAAATGCTTCTTAGAGACGATATCCTCTCTGAGTTTTGGTAATTAGATTATTTATATATGTGAGCGAGAATGAAAAACTCAGTGCAGAAAAAAGAAAATTAAAAAAGAAGAAAAGAATGGCAGTGAAACTCATAACGAGTTGGTGTTAATTAATTTTGCTGATCAGGTTTTTCCCCCGAAGGCTTCTTGTTCTTGATGCCTCTTGAATGACAAAAGCTTTTGCAGCCGCATCTGTTTATAAAACCTAGTGATAAACAAGTCTGCAACATGATCGATCTCATCTTCTAACCTGAAATCTTCTCCTTCCTCTTTCGAGTTTCTTACCAGATCAATGATGGATCCACCTTGCTGCTCATCATCCAAGTCCATTTCATCATCTTCATTGAAAAGCGAGTGAGTCAGATCCGGATACTTGTCGTCTTCTTCTTCTTCCTCCTCAGTGGCCATGGCATTGTGGACGATAATATCCTTGCTTGCGTCTGCGTCGTCTTGTTTATGGCCATTTTCCTCCTTGTCATGCTGGCCTAGGAGGCCGTGGATCTTGTTAGATATGGAACCCAGCAAAAGCTTCTTGTTCTTCATCAGCGAAAACATGATCAGACGAACTTTGAAAGCACTTGTCTTGCTCTTGATTGCCATGGATTTAGCTTTAGCAATCGAACTCAGCAAACCCATTATCTGCTTCAACATGGCAGACCCTCCTTTCTTCATCTTTAATTATTTCAATCCGCCACCTTTTCACACCAATATCAGTAATGTATATCAATATTTATATTTATATGTGCGTATATGTTTGTATTTGTATGTATGTATGTGTAACAGTTGAAGAAGAGTGGCACGAAGATTCAATAACGAAGGGGTTTGATGGGTTTATATAGCTGCATGGGAGTGGGATGAGGATGCTTCTCAAAGCAGCAATCTGCTCTTACTCAACCACGTGGCAGTAATCTATTGGCTGGAGCTAAAGCTTTATTCCGGCTTAAAGTGTTTAGATCCACCATGGTTAAAGTACATTTTAATTATTAAAATAATTTTTCTGACGTGTTCTTAAAAGTTTTTTAGCGCTTTTAATTATACAAAAAAAAAAAAAGTTTCTAAAAGGGTATCTTAAAATAGTTTATTACTTTTGGTTTTTTAAAAGTTCATATAGCCTGTACCTATTTTGGTATTGCTTACACGCACACATATATATATACGTTTGTGTGTGTGTGTGTATATATATATACATATACAAGGGTTTGAATACTTTATTTTCTTATATTTGACTTATAAATTCTAATAAATCATTAAATATTCAATAAAGTTAGAATTGTAAATCGTAATTTAATAAAATGGCCTAGAAAATAGTTAGCTGCTTTTATAAAACTTATATAATCAAAGGGTGTTTTAATGTCAATTAGTTAGTCTTTTAAATATTTGTTGGAAAAGAATTAAGCAAGATGGTTTTTTAATTAAAAACAATTTACAAAAAAAAAAAAAAAGTATATTTAACTTATTTATTTTTTTGCATAATTATTAATTATAAATTTTCTATGATAAATGAGTATTTTATATAGACTGGAAGATGTAGTAGTTAATTTTTCATTTTTTTATTTTATTTTTCCATTGAAAGCTTCCAAAGTTTTATTAATTTTGAGAATGCTCGGAATCCTTTGTAAATGTTCATCTAAATTAAATAAATTATTAATTTGATTGTTAGTATTTTTTAAATAAAAAATATGAGTTTGAATCTTGAAAAATAAATGAAAATGAATTTTGTAACTCTTTGGCTCCAGTAATTTTTTTTTACTAAAATAAAATATTATGTGTGGATAAATTTTATTTTTCTTTTTATTTACAAGAACAATTAATTTCATTTTTGACTAATTTAATTAAAACTCTTGTTTAATGCTCTAAATTTACTTGAATGTTTATCAACATATAAAAGTTAAGATTACTAAAGATATTTTTTGTATAAAATACACTAAAAATTATAAGCTATTAATGCAACAAAAATTAAAAATTAATTCTTGCTTGGAAAAGATTCTTTTGAACGGGAGAGACCAATAAATCTTAAAAAAACTATTGCTTTGATAAAGTCAAAAAGGAAAAAAGTGATTCTTGCTGTTATTTATTACTAATATATATATATATATATATATATATATATATATCATTTGGGACGGAATTTTATAGATGAAGATAAGCAAAATTTAGTATATCTTTTATCTGAAATTTTAATTAGTAAAAAAATTATATACCCAAATTTATCTACCTCAATAAAATCAATGTGAAAAACTGTTATACTCTATGTAAATCATTATTTTTATAAATATTTTATTGACATACTTTTGAAATTAAAAGAAAAAAACATGACTAAATTCATTATTCTAACAAAATCTAATGCTACAAGTTGATGTTAGTGGACCTCAAGAATGTTAAGAGCCACTTACCAACATCATGTAGATAGTGTGTTTTGAGCCTAAATGAAGTAAACGTATAAGCATACATCAACCGTATTTTTGTGAATGACATTATTGGGAACATGCAAAAGGCCTTTAAGAAACCTTTAACTCATTAGACAAGGTTGAAATGAAGTTAAACCTCGAAAAATGTTTAATTCAAAATTAAATTAGGCAAATTCTTAAGATTTTTAGTAACAACATGAGGCTTTAAGGAAAATCCTAAAATGGTCAAATTAGTCCTCCAAACAAAATCCACCAATCTAATAAGAGATATTTTGAAGTTGATAGGACAATCAACGATCTTGAATTATTTTCTCTCCAGAGTTGATAAACAAGAGCATTCATTTATTCAGGAAGGCAAAACAATTTTCATCATATGATGGATGTAAGTTAACTTTTTGAAGAATTAAATGGTATATCCCTCCCTCCAGCTTCTTTTTAAGTTAACCATAACAATGCCAAGCCACCTCTTTCTTATTTTTTTCTTTATTCTTTTTTGTTTAATGAAAAGTTTAGATTAAGCTTTTAAGGTTTATGTTCTTGGTATAATGAACTTTAAAAGATTTAATTTGGAGTGCGATAAGATAAATTCTTAAGTCGTTTTAGTAAAATCATAAGATATTAAGGTAAACCCAAAAACTATCTAAGTAATACTTCAAATAAGATCCCTCAAGCTAGTAAGGTGAAAGAAATTAGCTTTTCGAACATTATGTGTGTTTAATCTCATTAATTATTCACATATTTATACATTTATAATGTTATATATAAATTCATCTACACTATAGATATTAGAGATTAAGTAAAATATAAAATAATAGTTTAATTTATAAATCAACATTATAATTATAACTAAATAAGGAACGTATGGAAAGACCTTTTCCATTAATTCAAGGAGCTGGGAGAAGTAAAAATACAGACTTTGTTCAAAGTAAATATGTGTGAGAAGTCTTTTACGTTAAAACCACATAACGTTATAATACTTTGAGTAATTTCAGAGAGTGTTATATAGGGTTTTCACTTATCTAATAGCTGCACTCACATATACTACTAGTTACGGCGATCCAAGTGTAAAAATGTCACTAAGAGCATGAGTCTTGAGGTTTGATATGATCATTTTCTAGATATATTTTTAAAGATGATTTCATATTTTTTTAGGATAATATATATATATATATTTTCTAATAGTCATCATCGAGCTGAAGTTGGTTGAGACAACTAAAATTTGTTTTGAATTTATAAAAAGCTGCTCAAGGTAATAGTTTGATGAAAATATCATCAATTTGATCAACAAACTAAATGACGAACCTAAAGTTCTTTACCTAACACCAATTTGCGAATAAAATATTTCTACATGCTTAATTCTTGTATGAAATACTAGATCCCTTTCCAGGTACACTATCTGACCATTGTCGAGCTATAATATCAAAGCTGAGGATAGTAAAATCCCAAGTTCTTGCAATAAGGGATTTAACTAGACAAGTTTTGGCATCATATTAACAACTCCTCTTTTACTTTCACTAATGACTGTGTAATGGTTGTCTATTCTTTTACTAATAAAGAGATTAAATTTGTCCAAGATAAATATTAAAATACTAGTGGAGCATTGATCATAGAACACCCTCCCCAATTGACATCAGAAAAATATTGAAGACTTAAAAAAGATGGAATGAAATAAAAACCAAGAGATGGTGTGTCTTAATACACCTCAATACCCTTTTAACTGTTGTCTAATGGTTGCACATGGGAGCACATAAGAATTGATAAAGTTATTTGCAAAGAACAAAATGTATGGTCTAGTGAGTATGGTATATGATAAGAAAAAAAAACTTACCATTTATCGATATAATACAAATACCTATATTTTTGGACAATGTAGGACTATTTCTCATAGGAATGAAGCAATTTGAAACAATTCATATGTTTATTTCAAAAGAGTAAAAGACATAATTAATCTGAAAGATGATGAGTTCACAATACTAGTCCAAATAACTTATAACCACATAAAGTAATGTGAGATTTAAAAGAAAATTATGTCTAAATTATTACAATACTAACTTAATTGCATATGAGGAAGATCCTGTAATACAAATATCATTTACATATTATGATAATGATATGATATTTTAAAAATAAAGACATATGTATCAATTAAGGTAATTAAGATCCTCAAGTTATTAAAAATATGTTTAATCATTAAAATCAAACAAGTGAAATTTATTTCAAACTATTTAGAGATTTGTCAAGTTTACACAAAACCAGGGTAACCTTTGTCAAATAGAATTTTATGGTTGGGTCATGTAAATGCTTTCTTCAAGATTGCCATGCGAAAAGACATTAGAAACATCAAGTTGTTGTAACTTGTGATATTTAGAGATGGTAATGATAGTCACAGACGGAATGATCCTAAATTTGATATCCAATGAATGTGTCATGAGAATATAAACCTTCTTCTTGGTGAAAGTTTTGACAAGAAAACATGCATATATCTATCAATATTGTCATACTCTAATTTTGTCCGCATATTTGATTAATTAAAAATAAAAGATAGATATAGAAAATGCCAAAAAAAAAAAAAAATACTAGTTTTTATTGTTATTTTATTTTATTTTATGTCTTAAAACAAATAATAATGATAAAAATATTAAAAATTATTAATTGGGCGATGTAATGTCTGCACATGTGTGCATATAAGTATATAAATATGTATGTGTAATGCACATAAAATTATACAATGTAATCAGAATAAGTAAATATCTTCTAATTTTATTTTATTTTATTTATTATTATTATTATTATCTTTATTTATTTATTATTATTAACCCAAATTTGTTCAATCCAGTAACCCACTAACAACAAACAAGCCAGCCCCATTTTCAATTTTTTTTAAAGAGCAAACCAGCCCTAAACGCCACCGTTTTGTGAATTTAAGAATAATTTGAATGTTCTTCCTGAAATTGGTTGTGGGTTGAAGATAAATCATGCAATGCTTGATTTGAATCATGTTTGATTCTTTTGTTTTATGGAAGAATGAGTATTGCTTAAGGTTATAGTTCTCTTTAATACTTAAATATGTTTGGAAAAAATAAAGAATAAATCTTGGGAAATCAACTAAAATATTTTATTACCTTTTTTCTCTTCTTCACTAAGTGGATTGTTGAACCGGTGAGTATGAGTTTTATATTGTTAATGATGTTTTATTTCAATAATTTATTTGAGGGGAAGAAGATGTCAATGATCAATGTACCCATTTGATTTTGTTTCTTTTAT